TGCAGCAGAGCTACTCTGTAGCCTGTGGGTTCCCCAGGAGTCAGAATCAGTTGGCCGTGGCAGGGGGTTTGAGTGCTGCTTGGAATATAGCTTCGCCTGGGTGCTCAGAGACCTAGGACTGAAGTCAGATTTCTCTGCTAATGACATGAGCACATCCCAGGAGCTACCCTCCAGGTGGTCCCAAGGGTTGCCCGTAACTGGAGGAAGGGGCCCAGAATCCACCCCTGAGGACAGCGGCCTCCTCCAGCACAAAGCTGCAGTACAGACTGCCGCTCCCTAGACCTACCTGCACTGCTACCCAGGAAGCCGTTTCTGCTGGAGCGGTTTTACTTCCTGACAGGGTGCGCTGTGGTCTCCCAGGCCTTGGTCAGGGAGGCCATTCTCTGTGGTCGGTGCACTCCCCTCTCCCTGGGCTGCGGGCTCTCCCTGAAGCCCGTCTTCCTTGGCCAGCCCTTGGAAGCATTTTTTCCTGTGCTGCGCAGGGAGGTGACATCAGGCCCTGCCTGGGTGCTGCTGTTTAAGCACTCGGGGGAAACCCCTGCATACCGCTGCCAGCAGAGAGTAAAACCGCCTCCTGGGACCCAATCCTGGCATTCCTCAGCAAGTGGAATATTCCACTCCCTGTTTGCAGCTAGGCCTGGGCAGCCTGGGATGATTGGAGGGTTCTCAAGCCTTTGGCCATGTGGGCCCGGTTTCCTGCTGAAGAGAAGCTTTCTGATGGAGAAGGGTTGGAGAAGGAAAGCATAGTTGGGGAGGGGCCCAGAGCTCAGAAGCTGGGGCCTCTCAGGCGGCTCTGGCACTCTTTGACCCACCAGAGACCTCTCCCCTGGGAGCATGCCTCCTTTCCAAGATCCCTGGCCATTGACCGCTGGAGAGCAGCCCCTGGCCTCTCACAGTGCCCAGTGCCCCTGCTGGGCTGGAGCTGTTATGTCTCTCCTGACTGCCTTCCAGGGCCATAGGCCCCACCCCAGGTCTCAGAGCAGGACCCTCCCTGCGCGGGTCTGAGCAGACCCAGGGGGCTCTATTACATAGTACCAATGGCAGCAGGCCGACTGCCCCTGGGAAACCCCAGGGGTACCGGCCCCCTTCCTTGAACAAAGAGAGTCAAGGCTCTTTGACAAACACCCTTGTGCCCACAAGTGCCTTCCTCTGTGGTGGTCTCATACACAGGTGAGAAAGCAGGGTCCCCAGGCGGGTCAGTAACTTGCTCAAGGTGAGTCTGCGAGGAGGGAGGGTGTGCCCCACTCAGCCTGCCTCCTCAAGCTCAGGCTGCTGTGGCCTGGCATCCAGAACTGGCCCAGCCTGCTGATCCTTACTTCCCGCTGCCTCCCATGCCCACCCCAGCAGCTCTGTTTCCCAACTGCTGCAGATGCCAGCCCCAATCTCGCTTCCCACCCCGCCCCCTTACACTGGTCTCTTTCCTCTCCCGAGGCTGCCCCCAAGTTCACATTCGTCCTGTGCCCTCAGGGTGCGCCCCTCTCCAGCAGCCAGCCTCTTTTCTCGGCCCCTCACTGGCCACCAGGGACAACCCTCTGGGCCTTTCTCATGGGACCCACTTCAGAAGCGCTGCACTATCTCTCAGTTACGCAGCTGGCCCAGGCCTTCCCCTGCATCCCTTGCTGGGTCTGACTCAAGCAAGCCATCTTCCCTCCCCACGAGCACGCAGGGCTCTCCAGAGCCCCAGGCCTGCCCCAAGACCCTGCTAGGTGAGGGTCGGAGGGGCCAGTATCACTCCCACAGGGCTTGGTGGGTCCACAGAGTGCTTTCCTGGGAGCCTGAGACCATTCTCGAATTCTCATCTTCAGGAATTATTATTTTTTCAGTTCTCTGCCTCTCTTGTCTTTTAAGATCTCCTTGAACCAACCCGACTCAGAGAGGCCTATGCGGACTCCTAGTAACGAGCAGGGAATTCTTGGGTTTTTCTTTACTCTTAGTTCTATTTCCAGTGACGAGAAGGGGGTAGGAGCATAACCGGAGGCTGACTTTTTGTCCACTCTGCCTAGAAAGTGGACCTGAGATGGACAACCCTCCCTGTGGCCGTGCATTCTCCTCGGACCCCGCCCGCCCACGCTGCAGCCTTTGCACACCAGGCTGCGACCCTATCTCAGCTCGGCGACCAGCAGGTGGTGGTTTGCTCCACACTGTCCCCCTGGACCTGCCCTAACGGCTTCCACAGCTGCAGACAACCTCTGCGTGGCTCCTCTTGCCTAATGAGGTTGTTCCATTGTTGCCCCACACATTGTCCTCACATTGTTTGTGCAGCCTTCTGGGGGCATAGATAAGAAATACCTCGGTCTTAATTAGCCTCCCTTGCTTGATCTCCATCAGGCGGGTATGGGAAAAAACAACTTCCCAGTGAAGGACCAGCCCTGCTGTCGCATGGCCCCACACAGGGCTGCCCTCGCAGAATGAGTCTGATCGTTGGGATGGTGGGGATGAAACTGGCAAGGGCTCAGTTAGAAAGGAAATGTTCAGAAAATGCTGATGGCAACCTACGTACACATATGCTTGATACAATTGATTGTGATAAGGTTTTAAGAGCCTCCATTAAAATGATCTATTAAATTTTTAAAAAGAGAAGAAAGAAAAGAAAAGGAGGGTGGGAATGGCCGCCCCCCTTGAGGAACGTCATCGGCGTCTGTGAATCCGGCGTGCAAACGTTTTTTGGCTTGGTGTGTTCTCAAAGCAACAAAAATGTTTAAACTTATTATTATTTTTAAAAAGAGGGAAGGGAGAAATGGCCAGGGTTAGTAGGGAAGAATGCCTCTCCTGAAATAGATTCCAACTCGACACTTTGATGGTAGAAGCAGTTGAGTCTCAGCAACAACAACAACCTACAAAAATTGTTTGTTTAAAGAGACAGGTTTGAGCTAGAAGTAGTCATGAGGTCCAGCTGCCTCCAGAGCAGGGTGCCTGTCAGGTGTGCCTCTGAGGTCCACAGTGCCCCTTGTCTCCTGGCGAGGATTCTCAAAGTCCGTCTTCAGGGTCCCCCTCAGGCCAGACTGTTTAGTCCCCTCTTCTGCAGAATTTCTGGCTTTTCCACCTTTGTAGCTCTAAGCTGCACGGCTTTGCTTGCTCCTCAGGAATTCTCTTTTTCAGCTGCTTGAACGCTTCTCAGTTCAGGTTCCCCTTGCACCCTAAGGGACAGGTGCCTTCGGGGACCTTTATCTTCCTCCTGGGGTCCCTGGGTGGTGCAAACAACCTTGGGAGAAAGGCCTGATGGTGGAGGGCGGGAAGACCTGCTGGAACCTTTGTGC